CGACCGGGTCCTCCTGATTGTCCGTCCTCTCCCCGGCGCCCGGCAACCCCCAACCCACCGGCGCCCCCTTCAGGCAGTGCTACAGGCCACGGCGGAGGAGGAGCCAGAGGGGGACGCCCGCCCCTCGTCCAGCCACTTGTCCAGGTTGCGCCGACGGGCGTTCATGAAGAAGTTGCTGACAGTGGACAGCTCCAGGCCCAGCTGGTGGGAGATGGTGACCTGCAGCTCCTTGGCCGGCCGGTGGTTCTCCCTGAAGATGGCGTGGAGGGTGCGGCGCTGCAGGTCCGTGAAGACCAGCCGGGTCCGCTTGGGCTGGTTCCTCTCCGTCTTGCTCTGCTCCTGCTCCTTCCTCTTGCAGGCTGAGGACAGGCGAGGAGACAAGGACACGTTAGGACAGGCCTAGATCGTCCCCCAACACATCCTCAAGATGAAGCACAAATCGCACTCTCCCTCCAAGCCCTTATCTCTCCTGAAGCAGCGGCCAGCTCCTCCATCTTCAGGTCGTTTCTGTCGTTTGCTCTGCCCCAGACACGGGTTCGAAGGGTGTCTCTGCAACGTGTGGCTTTTTCTGGACACGAACCACCCTTGTCCTTTAAACTACCCGCAATGGGGAATCAGATTCCCGCTGTTCACGTTTTTAGGGGGTGCTTGAATGAACCCCAAGGCCCTCATCTCTCAAACCAGCACCCAGTGGGAGCCCGTGCCCACCAGCCGAATCCCGCCGGAAAGAGACCCTGCCACAGCTGGTTCAGGAGATAAGGAGCAGCTTCCACTCCGCAGGACTCATTGGTGGGGCGCAGCAGAGCAGGAACCCCCACAAGACTAGCGCCTGCTGTAAGGGGACAGTGGATTCTGGAACTGCTGCGCTTGGGGTGGGGGCGCTGGCTGAGAGGCATGAGCTTGGGTTTCCAAAGCCCATCTGCACCGTCGGGGTGGACAGAAACTCGAAAAGAAGGCCACACCCCTTTCACCGTCAGCGCAAGGAAGGTCTGGTGGTGGCAGGAGGTCACAGCACCGTTCGGCGAAGGCGTGAAGTGCCATTATGAAGAAAGCCGTTTTCTGGAAGGTCACCACGCAGTACAGCTCCATTGTAGGTGGTCGCTGCATTGGAACCTATACAAGGCTTTCTCCCCACACAGTGGCTGTTATTGACAGAGCTACCCCCCACCTCGCGGTTATTCCTGAAATGTCATGTACAACACAGGCCCGCCTCCCTAAATTTAGAATGAATCCCAGGTTCTACAAAGATATTGGCATTAGCATGGTATCAAGTCCAATCTCATCCCTTCTCCCATCCAGATGGACAAGACCAGCAGTGTGGAACAGGATATCAGCGGACTGGAACACGCACATCCCGCATGAGATCTTAGACACACCATTTGTTTTTGTGTTGGCACAGGTGTCAAGAAACTTTCACTTTCGCGTCCCAAAGGTTTTGCCCCTGCATCGCTTGTATTTTCTTCTATATACTCCCAAACGTCCACCTTGTCACAGTTTTTCAAAGTTGTAGAAGAAACGCCAGCCAGCAGGTTGTTTCACAAATATTACTATTTTGCCTATCCAGCTCTTCAATCTTAACTTTATCCAGAGAAAATAACACTCATCCTTAGTTGATCTGCAAGTGGCTTTGAGTAATATTCCCCATCAAACGACTGCAATCCTGTCCTAAGTGCGTTCCCATGTCCCAGCAATTTGAACGCATCCCTATACTGTGTAATGGCATAAGTATCTCTCCTGTCTCAACCCGCATAACTGAGATTTGAGTTGACATCAAAACTGTTCTACATTCTAAAAGAGGAAACCAGGAGCAAACTGCATGGACGTGCCTTTGAAACTGAGAAAAAGGAGGCACTTCTTTACACAAAGTGTTGTGGGAGTGGGGAACAAGCTACCCAGCCATGTGGTTTGAAGCCAATACCCAGTAAGACCCCGAGTTCCACTCGCTATTAACGACCAAACAGAACAGAAGGGCTTATCAACCTCCTCTCCTTCGTAACCTTGCTTAAATTTGTATTTTCTCCACAGTGTTACATAGCTCTTGGTCGCTATAGTTGATCATACCCAAGGCTGTTGCTGAGGGCACCAGCCTTCTCTAGTGACCTGCAATGTATTCCAACCCCAACGTAGGAGAGCATTTGATGGAAACAGAGAATTCTGGAGGCCTAGATTAGAAGTGCGACTTCATACAGAAAGAACGCGCTGTTCGGACTGATCGCATTTAACGGGAACTGCTTCCGGAAAAGCCCGCGGAATCATAACCTCTAGGGGGTTAAGTTAAGGCGGCCGCTCCCTCTTCAGAATGAAGTGCCTAGTCCACAGTTTCTTTTTCATCATTCATAGTTCATTATTCCTCATAAAAGTCATTTGCATGGAGAGGCGGCGGTGAATGATTACCGCATCAGAGGAGGCTAATTTATTTTTTATTAAGACGGAAAAGTCTGGCCGAGTTAAACAGAGCAGCAAATTCCGAAGTGCTCAAACGGCTAAGTGGGCTTAAACATGTTTTTGGTGACTTCAGTAATTACCTAAATGCACTCTTTAAAGAGGCCTTGATCAGCATTGCTTAATGGAAGCGCGCCGGGATTTTATTTTGCTGACGCGAACAGCGAGGAGAACCGGCCCCGTGTTGCCGCGAGAGGGCGCTGTGCTCTCTTCCAATTGGAAACGGGTGAGAGTCTGAAAGACGGGCTTGAAGACGTTTAAGACATCTTCTGCGGAAACTCGGAGACACGGAGTTGGAGCGAGTCCGCAAATCACAGCTCCGTCTTGTTACATTTTTTTCTGTGAATTGAAAATAAGACGGGCATCTTATTTTATCAGAAAGCTTCCTATGAATGCCATAAAAGAGAATCCGTATTAAAATCACAAAAATGATTAAAACGGCCTTTTTACTTGTTTTAAAGACATACAGCGTCAAAAGAGACTTATCACTGGTAACTGCAGATTTCTAAAGCTACCAGAAAAATGACCATCTCTTTTGTAGCAGGCGCAATGGCAGATTAAAAGATTACTCTTTTTAGAATTGAACCAAGGGGCTTGTTTAATTAATTAATTAGAAGTCAAAAATCAAGATCGACAATAAAACATGAGCCTGAAGTCAAGACACGTGGAACCGAAGCAGAAGCACATTAAAAATGGAAACCGTGGACACTTCTTTACACAAAGGGTTGTGGGAGTAGGGACCACACTCCCAGCAACATGGCTGAAGCCGATACCCTGTATGAAACGCTTAGGGGATGTTCTCGAATCACTCACCTAGTAGAAACCCAAAGGGCCAAACAGTCTCTTCTAATTTTGTCACATTTTCCCTCAATTGTTTCTATCCATCCATTTTGGAACCTCTTTATCCAATCCAGGGTCACAGGGGAGCTGAAGCCTATCCCGGCAAGCAACAGGCACAAGGAGGGGTACACCCAGGACTGGACAATTATTTTAATGCGGTGGTTCATTAAACAGCATTCCCTACCTGCAGAATCCCATACAGCACACGCATTTAATTTAACATTAACCACACACCTCACAAGCACAGCAAGAGGTCTCACAGTGTCCTCACACAGTGCCCCATTTTCAGCAGCTGGAACTTGGACAGATGCTCTTTCTCAGCCCACATGAATAAATAAGGCCCTTTCTCTTGGAAAAACCCTGAAACTGGGAGTCCAACCAGAGCCCTCCGTTTTTCCACCAAAGACTCCAGTGTCTCCGGTCTCTGCCAGAGAGCCCAGAAGTGGCCATTAAGTAAAAGCTTCCTTGTGCTGTAATCATCAGTAAAAGGCCCACAATTACCATGCTATAAATCCCCTGCACGGCGCACACACGGGGAACATAAATATTCCCATATAGGGCTCTTATGATCATGGGAACGTTTCCTAATAATGATGCATGTCTCCGTCTCGCGTTGGAAATGTGATTGAACACACACCCCATCCCAGACACACACACACACGCGCGCACACACCGGTGATGTCTGGGGCTGAGGGCTGATAGAAATTATTGATTAAATCTGTGCAGCTCAGACTGTGCCAGCCCTCTGAAGCGCATTAACCCCTCGGGCGCCAGCTCCCAGGCCGAGAGAGCTACGCGCCGCGCTGCTCCTTGGGATCCATCTCTCTCTGCACCAGGGATCCCTCCTCAAGTCTTGGTCCTGGTGGGGGGGGG